TGAAAATAAAAACTTTTGCATTCAGTTCAATTGTACAATAAAGTATTCTCAAAGTTTCAAAGAAATTACTATAATATCTTCTTCACAATGAATTCTCAAAAATTCATTCATTTTTAGCCCGTTTACATCGAGCGCCCTCCTTAAGGGGTTAAGCCACCTTCAGAAAAAAACGAATTTTTGACTCTTTTTATTAGAAAATTGTATATAACATAAGACATTACCATTAAAATATCATTCTAACTGTTTTTTGATGTCTACTACAGTTTTCAAGGTATACAAGGAAATCAGTTAACTTTCAAGAGGTGGTTTCACCCTGAAAAACCGAATATCAGCAAAAACGAAAAATTGCCCGATCCTTCTATTTATGTCTCCTACAAACCAGCAGAGTTTAAAAAATACCCTTGAAGCATTTGTACCAATTAGTGTCGCAAATTTTGCAAGTTACATGGATCTGTTGCAACAAAGACCTTCGAATCTTCATTTCTGATTTTCAAAATTTAGAATACTGACAACCAACAATACTTGCGTTTATTAGCATTGCCATCTCTAAAAGCTGTATTCATATTACGTACAGCTTTGACAGCAGAATGACCGAGTTTAAACTCATAAAGGAAAATGACTCGAATTTCGTGCGTGTTCGTTGTACCGTTGCAAAGACATCACGACAGAACTTCCAACGTTATTTCACAGAAAGGATACACGAAGCAAAGGAACATAGATCGACATTCAATTTTATGTAAGCTATTCTTCAGGCGACCGATATATTTCTTAATACAATCTAAGTGAAGAATCTGAAGCATTCAAACGGACATTTCGTATTTTACGACCTAACAGTTTCTACCCTGGAGACCGTAACTGACAGGAGTTTATTGGTATGTTGTGTAAGAGTTACTTTCGAAAGTTACGTCGCATAAGAGCTACTCTCATGGAGACATACTGGGTTAGTGGGAAAGTAATTTGAAAATATCATACATTCTTCACTAATCTGAGTGAATGTTTAACGAAAGAAATTATATTACTACAATGGAGGAAAATTTAGATTGTTGATTATATAAATTGTTACTGCTTAAAATTGTTGCTTTCTTTTTAAAATGGCAAAACAAAAAGTTGTGTTTCCTCCAACCGGATATTTTCGAAATTCACTCTTACGTGTATACATGACATGAAAACTATGTTCGAGAGTTACTTTTATGTGGACATTTGGTATAAGAATTACTCTACGTGGTTACCTTAACGTGTTATCTTCCGAGACATTACTCTCGGGAGAACACATAGCACAAACGGTACTTTCGAAAATTACAGTCAAGTGGATACGCAGCATAACAGTTACTTCAGAAAGCAACTCTTAACTCTTTGAGGCACACGATTTTAAAGAAAATAAAAACCTTAGTTGCACAGAATTTTTTTTAATATAAAGAAAATTATATAAAATAAAATATTAAACTGTATGACTATGAGTAACTTCAACTTTTCGAGGTGGGTTAAAATATATCCCACCATGCATAAAAAGCTAAGCAAAAGGTGGGACAGTTTTTAACCCACCTAACCCTAAAGAGTTAAAGGCGTGTATAGAATAAAAAGGTTCTTTAAATGTATGCAGTTCTGTGATTTCCGCTCTACTGGTTGTGAAGTGTATAAAAAAATGCCAGTAATTTATTTTTCATAACAGGATTTATCGAAATAATTACATATGTGGATAATAATACAAACATACATCTCATTAAGTGAGCCTTATATCGAATAATTATACCAAATGCATTGATTGAACTATATTGTGATAGTGATTTCCATAAGACAACTTTTGTATTTGAAGACAAGGGGCTGAAAAGCTTTCCGCCTTGCCACGAATGCCCCGAAGTGGATCCGAGTACGTCGCACTCATCGAGACATTACTGTACCCGTGAAAGAATAATTTTCTTTCCAAAAGATGATAATTATTTTCTTTAAAGATCAAACACACATTCTTCGATCGATAGATTGTTCAGAAAACTAATTCACGGTTTCATTCTAAATCTGACCAACGTTATTACGCCCAGTACACGATGATCGATCGGGCGACCTCGATACAAACGAAATTCAAATGAAAAACCGTCTGCAATGCTAAATCGTTCGTGACAAGACACCGCTGCAAACTACGCAATGGATGGGAGAATTCTTCGAAACCGAAGAGCAATTTAATGGACGAAGACGAGGCAGCCTCGGTCGTCGGTGAAATTTCTAATTACACGAGACAGCGCTATGGCATTTCACGTGTTAACAACAGCCGCGCCCGAAGACGCGGTCGAGGGTGTCGGTGGTGGTATGCCTGTTAAGTATGTGGAATTGGGTTTATTACTCGCTCAGGGGAGGCGTGTACTATTTCACGAACTATTTCAGGAAGCTAAAAGCCGAGGGCCGAAACTGCCCCGTGGACGGTTGTGCCATTCGAAAGTCCGAGGACCGTGCAAGAATAGCCGGAATTGGTGTCGAACTTGCCCTCTCTCGCCAAATATCGCGCGAAATTCCGTGGATCAAATTTGGCCGAGGAACTGTCCCGTCGTTTCTGATAAAATTAACCCCCACTACCCTACCCTCAGCCCTTCTGTTCGCTATTCCCATTGCTAGTCCGTTCGGACATTTCTCCTCGGTGAGCTTTCTGCTTCCCTCGATCGTAAAGTATACTACTGGTATCGGGTGTTTCGAAGAAAATTGATTTCTCTGGAATATTTTCTTCTTTCTGGCAAGGGGAAGGAAAATTGGCACAGATAAGAAACATTGTTAAACAAAGTACTTAAATTATTTCGAAACGAATATAGAATTTCACACAAAATAGTGGTCTAATTTATGGATACACGTAATACAATAATTAATTTTCTAGTATTTCTTGATACATAGTCGATACATTATTAGCAAAAAATATTGCTTCACTTATGCACTAATGAAAAATTGTCGAAGATCAATGTTCCATAACTTGGTATTAATACCATTATTTATTGTTTGTTTTTGTTAATTCTTTATCTTTTATTACGCAATTGTAATATTATTTTACTTTTATTCTTGGTAAATAAATACCATACATTTTTCTAGCCATGCACGAAAAATATGTAACCATAAAGACGCAGGCGTTTCTATAGATGGCTACAACTTCGTTAAAAAACATCTGCTTTGGATGCAATTTAGCTTGTTTGAAGGCAAAGTATCATAATTTCTGAAACTATTACCTATAAGGCACATCCGTTCTGAAATATGAACAAATTTTTACAATTTATCGACCCCCTTTATAAGAGAAGCTTTTATCCCTTGTGCACCGAGTTAACTAAAATCGAACAGAAAGGTGAAAAAGTAGGTTTAATTTGCTTTTCGTTACAACAAATTTTGATGAATATTCGAAGGTATGGAATATTAAATTTCAACAATTTTTAACCAATGCCCAAATGAGGCAATACTTTTTGCTAGTAGTGTATAACTGGAAATCATTCGAAGAAAACGTACAGTACCGAACAAATGGATTCGGACAAGTACATTCTTCTACTTACGTTTACGATTATCCCAACGCAAGCTTTCATAAAAGTTACATAAGTTTTATCTGTATATAGTTAGACAAAAGTATTCGGACGTTTCATTCACAACCATAAGTTGTAATCTGAAACAAGAATTTCACAAGAATATTATAATTATACCTTTATTTTATCCATTCTCGAATGGTACGAGGTGATAATTCAACAAAAATTTTAAAACAAAACATCACGGACTGTTCAAATGGAGCGCAACCATCCATAGTTTCTTCAATGTCTGGACATCCCCAAATAGACAGTATATTCAACAAAATTAACAATTTGTTCGAGGAGGACATTTAAAAAATCTATCGAGTGTGGGCGACCTAAGAAAACAAGAATTACACAAGACAGACGTTAATTATTTAATGTAACGTCAGTAGGATCTTTAATTAAAATACTACAGGCAACAGTTTTTGTCCGAAAACATTTGTCCGGTACTGTATTACTGTAACGTTTCCTTATTATTTTTTATTCGCATAGCGAGCAAACATTTCCTGGCATAAAAAAAATAACACGGTGTAGTATCGTTTACCTGTGAATAAATTGAAAGAAAAAAAAGCAAGGCAATAACGGGGGACTAGGAATCAGAAGCGTCGTGATCGATGGTAACGCGGAACGTCGAAGCGCGGCAAATGGTATCTTTATCGGTGTTCTAATGATCGTCGTAAAACTCTGTCCCGGGGCTCGGCTTTACGATGGCTGGGTCTGCCCGTGTAATTGAAAACTGTGTCCAGTTACGTTACGTTTCCGCGAGTTCGCAATGAACCGTTTCGATACGCGTGTCGGCCAGCAGAGAATTGCGAACATTTGCGCGAAACGGGTGCCCCGATTATCGTGTATTAAAATCGTGCGACTCGATTCGAGACCGTTACACTTCGTTTGCCCGCGATTGCTCTGCCGTAATTTCGTTGCTCGTCGCAGGTACACGCAATGTCCGGTTCATTCTGATATCAAGTTAGTGATTGGATCGTGTTCACGCTTAATAGAGGAGAAAATTTCATAAGATGTAATTGTGTTACTGTCAGGTTATTGTGTGAGGTTATTATATGATTGTCGCAGACTTTTTATGTGCACTAGTGAACATGAATTGAGAAACAAAGGATATAGTTGGGGAATGTGTGATATCTGGACTGTGGAAGTTTATGCATGTTCGCAGTTTCAAATGGAAATGGAGATACCGATATCTCGGTTACGGAGGAGTCTTGAACGTCGCAAACAATTTTAAAAAATGCACTACGAGGAAACGCGTGGAAAGTGACAGTTTAACTGCTGGGGTCTGATATTAAGAAAGGTCTCATATTAGACTACTTTACCCTACCATTTAATAACTCCCAATTAATTAACTGAATACGAACGTCTCCCAGTTCACAACCCAGCCCCCCCATAACAGGGGATAAGCCAACTGTCACGGTGCACGATCGCAGCAAAGACAGTGCTAACATGTTGCCACGGTTTCTGTCGCAGGTCTGCGGGAAGGTGTTCAACAACGCATCGGCGCTCACCAAGCACAAGCTGACGCACAGCGACGAGAGGAAATACGTGTGCACGATGTGCGGCAAGGCGTTCAAGCGGCAGGACCACTTGTGAGTATAGATACGAGATATATTCCACCCACCACACCCCCCTCATCCACCCCCATTTCTGCGTCGATTAGCGAAACCGGTGTGCCGCCCGTGTTTCCGCTTCTCGGCTGTAATTAGCGAAAACGGCCGCTCTTTTCCGCTATCCGCAGTCAACGGAGAACGCCTCCGACGATATTCACTGTGCAGAGTGTTCCAATTAACCCCTGGGACAACGGGTAGCTCGCAGGCGTACCCGGAATAGAGACAGTGGAATTTTTTTCACGCTAGAACTTCCGATTTTTTGTGTCGACTCTGTGATGGGCTAGGCTAGTTTCGCGAGTGACTTTCATTAGTGGTTGATTTGTCAAGAATATTGACGGCATATGGTTTGAATATATTTGATTAAAGAACAAGATCTGTTGACTCACATGACGTCACGCGTTATTGGTCGTCATAGTGTTGATCAGTGTATTGTAGATGCTCTAGATACATCAGGTTTTGGAGACACCTTGTCTACTTTAGTGAATAAATAGTATTTACAATTATAAACTGGAAATTCAGTGATCTCTAACACCTCATTTTCACCGGGTAACCTTCAATTCCATATTTTACATTGAGTTTCAAATAAACTAGACCAAGGTCTAATTACCAAAGCGTATCAGTTCCACAAAATCGTCTTGTATTTCTTCTTTTCGGAATAGTAACAACTATGAGTCTTCTAATGATCTCTGAAACCTCACTTTCACTTCGGATCCCATATGCCCTACTAATCTCGAATGAAGCTAAGCTAAAGTCTCATTACCAAATCATGACAGCTCTACAAAATCGCCTTGTGTTTCCTCTTTTCAAAACAGTAACAATTATAAGTCTTCTAATGATCTCTAAAACCTTATTTCATCACGTACCCTCCGATCCTAGATGTCCTACTGATCTTCATAGAAACTAGGCCAAAGTCTCATTACCAAAGCGTAAAGGATCCACAAAATCTTCTTGTATTTATTCTTATCGAAGTAGTAACATCTTCGAGTCTTCATAAACATTTACGGTATTCGCACTACACGTTGAAATGATCAAAGCAATAAATGAAACCGAAGGAAAACGACAGGGGTAGGATGGTGAGAAGAAGAATGATAGAATGTTGGGCGGGATGCGAAGATTCAATTCTTCTCGGGAACGAGAAATGGAATAAGAGGGAATCAATAGAGGCAGCGATGGTTGCTTCTGCTAGCCTCGGCTGGACTTGTTGGCCAAGAGGTTGGTCCTTGTATTCCATCCGAAGACGGATCTACAAATCCTTCGATGCTGCCTCCCCTATTGAGGATTCGCCGCGTGGCTGAACTATACTTCGAGCGGACGATAGTTTTCCTTTCTGAGACGTTTTCCTACCCTCCGTGTCCCATGTTCGATTCGACCTCGCCAATGTTGTTTCAGATTCGACGAATAGTGTAGCATTGATACTATTGGAAAATAGCAGATCTAGCACTATGAGTTTTAGACTTTCTCTATCAACGCTATGACGACCGGCTAGTGTCGTAAGTATCTTTTCGTTGTGATCGGCTGTTTTTGTCAGGGATGAACTTAATATGATTTTTACTATGTATGTAAAGGAATTCAATAACTTCAAACAGTTTGAAACTACCAGTTGACACTCACGTGACGGCCGTCTTACAAGAGAACACCACATACACTCACTTGCGGATTGAAATGAACCTTTGTGGGTTTCATGAGTGATTCAAGGCAAGAATAATGGTACGTTTCACTCGTACAGAATTACCCTTGAAGGGTGTGAAAACTAATCTCAAAGTCAAATAGGCACTCCCACTTTTTCGCGTATAACTCTTAAAGTACAAGAGATAGAAAGAAGTGTTTTAAACAAAAGTTTCGTAGTGCAACAAACGTTATAAGTATGGTTTAATAAAATTTGGAACAAATTTTTTTTAAATTTTGTTTTGAAAAAACAAAACTTTTTTTGACAATTTTGTTAACGCAGATTTATAGCGTTTACTGTATTATTAAACTTTTGGTTGAAACATTTCTTTCTATCTCTTGTACTTTAAGAGTTATACGCGAAAAAGTGGGAGTGCCTATTTGACTTTAAAATCAGTTTTTAACCCTTGAAGGGTGATTGCATAAGAATGAAACACACGGTTGTTCTTGCTTTGAATCACTCTATAAACCCACAAAATTTCATTCGCAATCCGCGAGTCAGCATTTGCGGTGTTCCCTTGTTTAGTGTTAATTCATGTAAACTTTCAGAGTAATTTAAATTTCGTTCTGATCGTTTGACTTTCATTTCTTTTAACGACAAGGTGTTTTAAGCGAACGAAATATGTATGTCCGTAAAAGGAAAATAAAAAATACGTCATCCGTCAGAATTTCAAATGAAGCAACAATGTGTATGGATACCGCAAAACCAACAAAAACACGGGAACGAGAAATTCTAATTTTTCTGTGTGTTCTGCAGAATGCTTCTCGGCTATGTTTATTTTCAAAATGGAATTTTAAAGTGTCTCAAGCATCTGCATCCATGGTTTGTCGATCGGTATTCGAGTTCGTTCTTCTTCATGATCGCATTAGAATAATTCTCTTCGAAATTCAAGCATTGCAAGGAACATCGTTCAAGCGCCAATCATCGATTTCTGTTTTCCATTTTACGACATCTCCGTTTGCTGCTTCGAAACAGTCCACATTTCTTGCAATGCTTTTCTTCCTACGCTCTTGTGGAGAAAATAAGTATGTATTATGCCTTTGGCGATCTACCCAGATATAGAAATGTGGTTCTGTGAAATTCTCGTGGAATTCCTACAATATTCATAAATATTTTCGTATGTAGCGCGAACGTGTATCAGGACATACATAATAAATTAAGACTAGAACTACCAGGATTGAATTTATACTAAGTTAAATTGTGTAATATATTAATGGGTTTAATATATATTGTAATATAGCTTACTTGTTAGTGTACTATAATATAAAGTATATAAGAAGTTAGGGGTTAACATAAATTCCGATGAAAGTATCTCTAGGGTTTCAATAATTATAAAATACAAAATTTGGAATCTATCATTTTGACAAGTTCGGTAGTTCTAGTGTTAAAGATATATTATTAAGAAAGCAGTCAAACAACGTAATATCTTATACTAATTGCAAAATTAGATTCTAATAAATAGATTTCGAAAAATTGAAATTAAGTAGTTCTATTACACTGGTTAAAAATAAAATGGACCTACATTAAATTTTATTGAAATCTATATTTTGTTGTATTTTGTAGATTTTTATATGCTATAACTGCGTAAAGACTCGATTAGTTTGGAGGTCCGGAAAAAATGTTAAATAAAAGCTTTTTATTAATCAATTTCGAAGAGACACTTCATGGCCACCTTTGCTGCTGTAAACTAGATTATTTGTAATGATAGTATTCATATATAGGAACTATATTCTATAATGAAATTAAACACTTGAACATTTTATTTACAGTGACCTCCAAAAATGTTAGATAAAGAACAGTGACCCAGATTACACATATTTCATATAACTGTTATACTATTTTAACAAGTCACGTGTCTAGGATGACGAATACACACATTTTATATTAATTTTCAAATTCGATTTTCTCACAAACTAAGACAGGAATGAAAAAATTTTATTCTATATTTTCTTCTTATCTTTTCACAAGAAATCACGTACTGCTCACCATTCCATATTATTCAGCTGAACCCTGCATAAACGAATAACACATCGACACCTCTCCTTCACGTTACTTATCTAACGTGAACAATTTATTTAATTATGTGTTTTAACTCTTTCTTTACGACAGAAGGCCAATAAAAGTACTGAAACCAGCCTGTATAGTAAAAATACTTAAAAAAATAATTTATTTTGAAGGAATTTTTTGTTTAATTTCTCTACCACTAAAGAGGTCAACGGAAATCCCTTCTCATAAACCACCTTATGGAGCGAAAATTCTTCAAAGCACAATTCGATTTTGCAGGCATTATTTACTTAATTGTGCAACGTGTAAAATACGTTTGCAAATTCTGTGACGCTCGAGTGACCCTATATATTAGTCCCCCTACCCCCTGGTTGATTTGAAAAGCTTCGTAATCCTGCAAGTTCGAAAATTTGTCTTTGTACTCGGCTCGAAATCGTTGCAATCCTCTTTTGTGCTTCGTTCCCTCCGTGTACGTGCACCGGATTCGCTTCGAACTGGACAGTATTTTTCTTTTCCCCGCCGCCCCCTCCACCCCCGGCGCCACGCCTTCGTTTTATGTACGTATTTCACCGGATAGGGTCGGCCCCGACACTACGTACAATGCGAACTGACGAACACTCCAGGGCCAGAAATTACTTTCGTTTCATCTCTGGTTTCCCTGAGCCTCGTTTTTTTTCCCAACCCCCTTCAAATTCAATGTCTCGCCAATTGTTCCTTTTCGATTTCCTTCGCTGGCCGCGGCTGTCTTCGCCTCGCCAGGAAACCCCTTCGGACTCGCCGCCGCCACCTGTTCGAATGAAATTTTAATAGAGAATCTTTTATTATTACCGGCGGCCTCGTGATGTTATCAGCTACGGTGAAAGTATTGGTAATTTTCGGTTGGAGAACCAAGAAAATTCGTAGGAAAAATATAATTCAATTTTTTGGGGAACTCTTAAATACACTGAAGATTTTGTACAGGGTGTCGTATAACTATTAGTAGGACTGGAGATGAAGTGATTCTACGTGGAAAAATAAGTCAAAAATATAGAATATTGGTTTTTCATTTGAGACTTCGTTTTCAAGAAAATCGAGTTTGAAGATTAAGTCCTATTCAATGGCACGCGTACGCAGCAGATTTTCAAAATCAATTTTCTCTAAAACGAAGACTTCAGTGAAAAAATTGTATTTTACATTTTTTACTTATTTTCTCATACAGAATCACCCCCTATCCAGTTATACCACCAGTTCCATACACGATAGTCTAGAGTTCAGTATAGATACTAAAGGGTTCGGTGACGTTTCATGATGTATTAATAATTATATTATG